CTAAGAGTTAAAATTAGCACACTTTGGCCTCAGCTGGGACATTCTAAATAATTTGTAGACAATTGATAGTTTCCCTTAGTTTCTTCTCTTCTATCCCCACACCAAATTCACTTGGTATTTTCCAAGAACACAATGCCCTTAGAGCAGCTTGATAAAAGCAAAGCAAAGAGAGGACTAGTAAGAAATGCAATGATAAAATAGACGTTTTTCAAGAATTTAAATGTTATTATGAACAATTCTAAAAACATAATTCTTAAGTACATATTTGCTTTAAAAAGCATATTTAAAGAGCTAAAGCAATATCAATTGAGAGTGATTCCTTTAAATTTAACAAATATATATAACAAATTAGAATAAATAAATAAATATATGCTATATAAAACCCACAGATGAAACTATACACATTCTAAGCTGTTAGATCGAATGTACACTGTCCTTTTTTGTAGTTGTTGTACTAGGGAATGAACCCAGGATTGTTCTACCACTAAGACATATCCCTAGTACTTTCATTTTTTTTATTTTGACAAGATCTCACTAAGTTGTCCAGGCTAGCTGAGGCAACTTGAGATTCTTCTGCCTCAGCCTCCCAAGTTGTTGGGATTACAGTTTGCTCCATCATATCATGCCCATCTATAAAATTTTTATTCTAATTAGTAAATTCTCATTACTTCTTTTAAATAGTTTAATATCTACCTCTTATTAACAAAATACAAATTATACACTAGCTGTAAGTCTGTTTTTAGTAATAGTTATATTTCTCTTTCATTAATTATCCCAAATAAAAATATATGGAGTTATTTCTGAATCATTTCCTTTCATTTATATATAAGAGCTGGGCATCAGAGACCAGAAGATGTTAGCTAGGCACAGTGGCACACACCTGTGATCCCAGTGGTTTGGGAGTCTGAGGCAGGAGGATTTTAAGTTCAAAGCCAGCTTCAGCAATTTAGCAAGGACCTAAGCAACTCAAAGATAGCCTGTCTCTTAATAAAACATAAAAAAGGGCAGTGGTTAAGTGACCCTGGGTTCAATCCTTCATACCAAAAAAAAAAAAAAAAAAGAGGGAGAGAGACCAGAAGATGCAAACACACTAAAAAGGAATAACACCTTTCATTGTGTCCCTTGATTCATTAATATCCATAAATTACTTTAATAACATCTTTTAATATGCATTCCATAATTTACTTCTCAATGATTTTGTACCACCCAAAATATGTATTAACTGTTTAAATGAACTTAAATATATAAGACACTTTATATCATACAAAGCAAGGTAGATATGGATGGTTGGTTTCACAATGGAAATTAGCTTTGTTAACCAAGAGATACTTTTCCTAAAATTAATAAGCTAAACTTTCATTCAGACAAAATCTATTTAAACACATAATAAAAGTTTATCCAAAATTTGCACTAGCAAAGATATACTGAAATTAATGTTTTCATTTTCTCAATTACTTTTTGGTATATCAAGTTAAACAAAGTATCTACAAGGGAAAAGATGAAAGCCACATATGATAAGTCTTAATAAAGCCTGATCTTGGTTTTTATATTGCTGCAATAATGGGAATTGAACCCAGAACTTTGAACATACTAGGAAAGAGCTTTACCACTGAACTATACCCCCAGACCCTGCCTTTCTGATATACTTCCTACACGATAAGAATTATTAGAGACCTGGTAATGATGGCTTCCACTGTTTGCCTATCTTGAAACTGAAGAACTTAACAGAACTGTCCGTCCACTGATGGACGTTTCATGATAAATCACTAAGTGATTTTTGGCAAATAACTTGGAACATTATCTATCACAAAACTTCCATTAGAATTAACTTATTTATATAAACATTTATTTTTCAGCACTTAACCGTACAAAATCTAAAAACAAGAACAGATCTGGGCCAAATTCTATTCAATTCTATAAATAATATAAAACTCCAGATACAAGAACTGATGGAGAAAGAGAAAATACATTCATTCATTTCATTAAAGAATGGATTTGCGGGCTGGGGATGTGGCTCAAGCGGTAGCACGCTGGCCTGGCATGCGTTCGGCCCGGGTTCGATCCTCAGCACCACATACAAACAAAGATGTTGTGTCCACCGAGAACTGAAAAATAAATATTAAAAAAAAAAAAAGAATGGATTTGCTATATACAAAGTGAAATTTAATAAAAATTTTAATGTTATTATAAACAGCTGTGTACACAAAGATATTTTTAATACTAAGAAACTTGTGATAAGAAAATATTTTAAAGTTCAATTTATTTTTTTTAAAGAAAGAGAGAGAGAGAGAGAATTCTTTTTTTTAATATTTATTTTCTAGTTTTCGGCAGACACAACATCTTTCTTTGTAAGTGGTGCTGAGGATCAAACCCGGGCCGTACTCGTGCCAGGCGAGCGCGCTATCGCTTGAGCCACATCCCCAGCAAAAGTTCAATTTATTTACACATCATTTATTGAGAGATGATCAATAAATGATTTTAACCATAATAATAAACAACATTAGGATAAAACTCAAGAACAAAGTGACATACAAGTTTCAAGAAAAAAAATAATTAAAATTTTGAACCTTTTAGGAAGATTATTTTTATATTTTTAAATTAATAATGGCATATTAAATTAGATAAATTTAAAAGAGTAACATATCTCACTGAGCCAGGTGCCATGGCAAACACCTATAATCCCAGTAGTTTGGAAGGATAAGGCAGGAGGATCGTGAATTCAAAGCTAACTAGCCTCAGCAATTTAATGACGTCCTAAGCAACTCAGTGAGACCCTGTCTCTATATAAAACACAAAACAGGGCTGGAGATGTGGTTCAGTGGTCAAATGCCCCTTAGTTCAGTCCACAGTACCAAAAATATATATATATATATATAAATATATATATATATAAACACATACACACACACCCCTCATTGAAATATTACAACATGCCAGAAATTCCATTTCTTTTTTTTTTGGTACCAGGGAATGAATCCAGGGGCTCTCAATCCCTGAGCTGTGTCCCCAGCCCTTTTTTGAATTTGATAGGGTCTCGCTAAGCTGCTGAAGCTGGCTTTGAACTTGAGATGCTCCTGCCTCAGACTCTAGAGCCACTGGGATTACAGGCATGCACCACCACCACCGCCACCGGCAGAAATTCCATATTTCTGGTTGCTATTTAAAATTTTTGTTAAATAATATCACTATTTAGACTTCTGTTAAATTACTATAGTTATTAATCTATGTATGTAGAAAGGCATAAACAACTTTTCAAAACTGTTTTAGGGAACAGAAGGAAAAACTTGAGAATAATTGTTCTCAAAACTTATAAGTAAGGCAGCCAGATAAATGAAGACTGTTAACAAGGTAGCAAAAACATGACAATTTAACAATCTCTCTCTGAAGACTGACCGCCTCAAGGAAATGCATTTTTTTTCTAAATATTCCCAATTAGTTCTGAGAAATTATAAACTAACATATTTCTGCTTTCTGTCAAATACAAACCTCAGAATTCAGATGTAGCCAGACACCATGTTTCTAAAATTATAAAAGATAAGTCTTACCATGGTTAAAAACTGATTTATATTTTATGCAATAGATGGATGATATTAAAATAATAACAATACAGCACTTTCTCTGACTTTTTCAAGAGATGCAACTAGTAATTGAATGGGAGTAAGAGTTCAGCACAAGGAGACAAATTGGAAATCACCAATCTTCACTCAAGTGGAATTTCACTTTAATAAATGAAATTAAGATTCAAAGTCTTAAGTCAAAACCTATCTTCAAAGTTAAAGTTCAAAAACTAAATCTGGGCTGGGGATGTGGCTCAAGCAGTAGCGCACTTGCCTGGCATGTACGGGGCGCTGGGTTCGATCCTTAGCACCACATAAAAATAAAATAAAGATATTGTATTCACCAAACACTAAAAAAAAATAAATAAAAACAAAAAAAACTACTAAATCTTCAAAACATTAAATTCTAATTCTTTGAGAGTCAATATTTTTCTAAGACCCTCAGTTATTCTCTAATTTGCTCCCCCAAGAGTCTATCACCGCCATATCTGAACTATGTAGTTTTTACTTCTCGTGTCAATGGCACATTATCTTGAAAAAACATTCACATCTTCCCACTGGCTTTGCCAGCAGTTATTGACCAATTAAGAAAGGGCTGAGGGCGCTGGGGTTGTGGCAGCAGTACAGCGCTCCTAGCACGTGCGAGACGCTGGGTTCAATCCTCAGCACCACATAAAAATTTAAAAAATAAAGGTATTGTGTCCAACTACAACTAAAAAAATATTAAAAAAAAAAAAAAGAAAAAAAAAGAAGTGATGTGTGGGGCTGGGCCTGGGGCTCAGTGGTAGACGGTCTGCCTGGCATGCATAAAGCCCTGGGTTCTAGTCCTAGCACCACGAATATATAAATAAAGATATACAACACAACAGTTGTCTTCTGCTTTGTGTAGGTACCTATAAATAAATAAGCAAACAAACAAACGAAAAAAAAGAAGTGATATGCGCTGGGGTTGTGGCTCAGAAGTAGAGTGCTTGCCTAGCATGCATGAGGCACTGGGTTCGATTCTCGGCACCACATTAAAATAAAATAAAAAAAGGTTACTGTGTTCACCTACAACTATTTATAAACAAATTTAAAACAAATATTTTTTAAAAAAGTAGTAGTAGTAGTAGTAGTAGTGGTGGTGGTGGTATATCTACTGCCTGGGCATACTCCTTTTATGTGAAATGGTGGGCTTAAATTATGTACTTGATATATGTAAATTAAATATATTTATGTGAATTGCTGCACTGTCAATTTAACATAGTGTAAAAGGCTGGAAACATTAAATATTTTTTACAGTCTTACTGAGGCACACAAAAATAAATTCCACACACTGAAAGTGTAGAATTTAAAAAGTTATAACATGCATACAAATTTAACTTCTGAAAATCCCAATCTCCCATCCTCTTCTTTGGCCAAAAAGTTGAAATAGAATTTTTGTTATCCAAGCAAAGTACTTACTTTCATGTAATTCACAATCTTGGCAAGAACACCAAACTTATATCCAGAGCTTCCTGAGAGAGCTTTCAAGTTAAATGATCCATTGCTATGATCTGGAAATAAAATTCAAAAACAATCATAATATTTTCATATTATATGTTATTATAACTTTTAAGCAGCCAAGATGATTTTCAATATGGTAAAATATTTATTTTTTCTTCTAATAAATTCTATGCTATAAAAATGTGATGAAAAATTTCTTTGCATATATATTAAACTATCAATTTTCTCACTAAGTATAGAAACAAAGTATAAATAACTTAAAAGAATTAAAACACTGCATGGGGGATGGTAGTTGGGGTGAGGTAGTGGTATTAGGGATTAAACCCAGGGCCTCACGCATGCTAACCAAGTGTTCCACCACTAGGCTCAAAATACAGTTCTTTTGTAAGTATCTTTACCTCACTCTTACCTCAAATTTGATCAACCCCCCACCAATAATTAGATATTACAAATCTCAATCTAATCCACATGGTGTTTTTAACAGATAAAATGAGTCCCTCACCTCTCATAAAGGTTCCTCAAAGAGAGAATTTGCTTTAGACTACCTATCACTTTGTTGCATACTTATAGGCAGAAACCCTAATGCCATCATTGCATCATAAACACATTTCAATAGTCACAGGAATGGTAAAATATATATTTTTATACTATATATTAAAATATATAATGTATACAGAATACATAAATATGTATATATTCATCATTAATACTAGAAAAACATTTCAAAAGAACACCTTCTATTAGCAAGGCATCACATCAGACATTATAAAGTTTCCATGTGGCTGGTCCACAAAAAGAGAGGTTAAATACAAGAGAAGGAACCAATGCCTGGCATCAGCTTGGTAATAATCATTTAAACAAAAGACTGCATTAGAACAACCACAAGTCAAATGTAACCTTTGTCAGAGATCCAAAAGAGAAGCTTCTAAATGGCAACATAATACTCATTTGAGGTTACTTAGTGAAAAGTATTTATTGATATGCTTTTTAGAGACTAAAATGAAACTTCATATGCAATTTTCCCTTAAAATGACTGTCATAATTTTGACAAATAATTGACCCACTGAAGTCTACTATGTTTCCAAAAATAACAATAATTTTAAGAATGCCTGGGGGCTGGGGTTATAGCTCAGTGGTAGAGTGTTTGCCTAGCATGTAAGAGGCACTGGGTTCAATCCTCAGCACCACATATAAATAAATAAAGGTATTATGTCCATCTACAAAAATAAAAAATAAAAGAACGCCTTACAATATGTTTTCACAATCACTATTTCAATTAGGAAATATTATACTGATCTGTTTTCCCACGGTGTTCAGAACACATTTTGTAATAATAATAGTAACTGAGATTTACTGAACACTTATTACATGTCAAACACCTTCCTAAGTGATTTGCCCATTTAATCACTCCAAAAAATTCTATTTAAGAAGTGTTATTGTCCTTTTTTAAACATAAGAAAATTGAAGGTGTATAGAGTCAAATCCAGTTGTAAACCCTGTGATATTGCCTTATATAAGACTTAACTGGCCTTTACACAAATTATTCTGTATGAAACTGTCTATTTTGCCAGAGCATAGAAACTAATAAATGCATATTTCACGTCTCAGGTTTTCACTTAGTAAAAATACTATAAAGCTTTATCCTTACAATACTGTATAAACAACCTACTGGGAAGACTACAAAAAAAGAAATGACAATATATTAAGGACAAACACCATTTTTAAAAGGGATAATTATGAACCACATACAGTTTGTTTACCACGGGGTCTCTAGCTTTTAATGCCAACCATAGTCAATAACTATTTCTTGAATGAAAGTATGAGTGTAATAAGGTATTTCCATGCCCCCCTTTTTAGCCCCAAAAACTAATGTACTGATTTATCTATGATTTTAAAAAACAATTCTGTGTAGCAAGGATTTACCCACTCTGTTGCAGTTTTAACAACCACTCCCTTAGTTAAAAATCTTGACTGTTAATTTAGATCAAACTCTAAATACATCATAATTTAAAACATTGTATCTCTGAACAGCCAACTGGAGGTGACTTTGTCATTTAAATTTCACCAGGAAAGCCTGTAATTCCAGTAATTTGGGAGGCTGAGGCAGGAGGATAGCAAATTTGAGTCCAGTCTTAGCAACTCATCAAGACCCTATCTCAGAAAATAAAAAGGGCTGGTCACTCTACTTTTACCACTCTACCATTGAGCCCTAACCCCAGCCCCCAGGCTGGGTGCAGAGGTACATACCTGTAATCCCAGTGGCTCAGCTCTAGAAGCTGAAGCAGGAGGATGACGAATTCAAAGCCAGCCTCAGCAACTTAGAAACTCAATGAGACCCAGGCTCTAAAAATATTTTTTAAAAAGGGCTGGGGATGGGCTGTGGCTGACTGGTAGCGCACTTGCCTAGCATGTGTGAAGCACTGGGTTTGATGCTCAACACCACATATAAATAAAAAGGTCTATCAACAACTTAAATTTAAAAGGGGGGGCGGGCTGGGCATGTAGCTCAGTGGTAAAGCACTCTTGAGTTCAATCCCCAGAGCCAAAAATAAATTACTTCATAGACTGAGGCTGGAAATGAAACTTGGTGGTGAAGCACTTACCTAGCATGCATGAATCCCTGGGTTCAATCCCTAGCATCTCAAAAAATAATAATAAAAATAAAAATAGCCCTGCATGAAATCCCAGCAGCTCCAGAGGCTGAGGCTGGAGGATCAAGTGTTCAAAGCCAGCCCCAGTAATTTAGCAAATCCCTAAGCAAGACCCTATCTCTAAATAAAATATTAAAAAGGGCTGGGGATGTGACTCAATGGTTAAGCACCACTGGGTTAAATCCCCAGACCCAATAAATAAATAAATAAATTCACAGGCTGCTTTTTAAATATAAGTAAAATATCTGCCTAAACTAACCCTCTTACAACTTAAAAGAGCTGAAAAATGTACTATTTCCCTGTGAATTTCTCCTAAGTCCAAACACAAAGAAATAGTCCCTTAGAGGGCTGGGACTGTGGCTCAGAAGCAGAGCGCTTGTCTAGCATGTGTGAGGCACTGGGTTCAATTCTTAGCACTACATATAAATAAATAAAATAAAGACCCATTGACAACTAAAAAATAGTAAAAGAAAGAAAGAATCCCTTAGAGAAGGCAAGATTTATGTATAGAACAAATACTGAGAGAAACATAAATTTTCATTTATAAGATTTTATGCAGGGCTAGGGATGTGGCTCAAGTGGTAGCGCGCTCCCCTGGCATGCGTGCGGCCTGGGTTGGATCCTCAGCA